CCCCAAAACCCCAAAACCCCAAAACCCCAAAACCCCTTCACCTTAATAATAATTTAACCCCCAAAAATACTACACTAATGTCTGAAGCTACTCCTATCCCCAATAACTCCTCAATGGACCACCACAGTTCAATCTCCCGAACAAATGTCCAATCCTCACAGAAGAAACCTTCTAAATCTAGGCGTAAACTTGGTGGTCTTTTCAGCTGCTGTTTTGGGAAATAAAAATTCCTTTAAGAATGAAGGGTCCTGGCATAGAAAAGTACAGCCGATCAATTCAGCAGCCGACAAACGTCGCAGTGAAGCTAAGCTGTTAGAAGTCAAGAAAAGCAGTCAAGGAGTCACTTTTAAGTTTGATAGAGAGGTCATGGGAAGTGACCATGGTAGTGTATCTGACGCTAGTGCCCAGAACAGTCAAGAAGAAATTAAGTTGCAGAAGAACAATCATTTTGAGACAAGTGTTAAGTTATTAGGCAACCAGGTAGGCCCAGATGTAGGAAAGAAAACTTTAGTGCTTGATTTAGACGAAACTTTGGTACATTCAATCTTTGGGAAGGAGAGTAACCCTTCTTGAACATTTTCATTACTGTTTAATAAGGAGTATTATTTGGTTAGCACAGAAAAGAGACCATATTTGGATGAGTTCTTAGAAGAGGTTTCTCAGCTCTATGAAATTGTTTTCTACACTTCCAGTGTGGAAGGATATGCGAATAACGTGATCGATTATATTGATCAGAACAAAATTGCCTCAGGACGTCTTTTCAGAGACGCTTGTATATGTAGGAACGAGGTTTATATAAAAGATCTCGATAGGCTAGGGAGAGACTTATCAAATGTAATTGTTATTGATAATTCTCCATCTTCATACTGAAATAATGTAGAGAATGCAATCCCAATTAAAAGCTGGTTTAACGACCAGAACGATTCAGAGTTATTAGACTTGATTCCAATTTTGCAATCTATTGCTAAAGTAAAAGATGTCCGCAATGTGATTCGTAAAATTATCCATCAAATGTCTTCAAGTTATGATCCTAATATAAAATTAGAAGACACTGAATTCCAGAATGATGAAAACATTAAGATTAGTGATAGAGATAAATACATTCAGGTTATTGGAAATTATCACCCAGATATTGAAGCATATAATCCAGCTAGGTTGTCTCGGAATAATATTGAGAATAATCTAACCTCAGCTTCTAGAAGTATTAGATTTTCGCATGAAGAAATAAATGCTTTTGTATTTAATCATGTTCATTGTCAATACTCATCGAATGAGCCTCAAGACCAAGTTTTATTTGACACTGAAGGGACAAAGACAAACAATTCTGCGACTCACGAGAGGAGGGCCTTTTTCCAAAAAGTTCATGAAGTCGACAGTGAAGATAGTGATGCTTCATCTTACTCGAATAATGATCACTCTTATTCCTCTTTCACCGGCGAGAACAGGTCGAATAATACTTTCGCTCAAAATTTGTACAAGAACCTTGAGAATCCCTCCTCTGTGTCTGACTCTTTCAATAGTGATAACTTTGCAGACCATCTGGGTAAAGAGGATCGTAAAGGAAGGAGAAATGATGATCTTAAGACATTCTTTTGCTTTGATAGATAAAGGACTCTCAATTTTAATTAAGGTATTCATTTTATTCATGTTTCAATATTTTTGTTGGATATTGGGGTTTTGGGGTTTTGGGGTTTTGGGGTTGTGGGG